GGGAGTCTAAGTCTCTTTGTAGATCTGTAAACTTGCTTTATGCATCTGGGTTCTCCTGGGTGCATATATAGTTAGGATAGTTAGCTCTTCTCCCTTTACCATTATGTAATGCCCCTCTTTGTCTTTTCTTTTTTTATCTTTGTTGGTTTAAAGTCTGTTTTATCAGAGACTAGGATTGCAACCCCTGCCTTGTTTTGCTTTCCATTTGCGTGGTAAATATTCCTCCATCCCTTTATTTTGAATGTATGTGTGTCTTTGCACATGAGTTGGGTCTCCTGAATACAGCACACCGGTGGGTCTTGACTGTTTACCCAGTTTGCCAGTCTGTGTATTTTAATTGGGGCATTTAGCCTGTTTACATTCAAGGTTAATATTGTTATGTGTGAATTTGATCCTGTCACTATGATGCTAGCTGGTTATTTTGCCCATTAGTTGATGCAGTTTCTTCATAGTGTCAATGGTCTTTACAATTTGGTATGTTTTTGCAGTGGCTGGTACCGGTTGTTCCTTTCCATTTTTAGTGCTTCCTTCAGGAGCTCTTGTAAGGCAGGCCTGGTGGTGACAAATTCTCTCAGCATTTGCTTGTCTGTATGGATTTTATTTCTCCTTTGCTTATGAAGCTTAGTTTGGTTGGATATGAAATTCTGGGTTGAAATTCTTTTAAGAATGTTGAGGCCGGGCGCAGTGGCTCACGCCTGTAATCCCAGCACTTTGGGAGGCCGATGCAGGGGTATCATGAGATCAGGACATCAAGACCATCCTGGCTAACACGGTGAGACCCCGTCTCTACTAAAAATACAAAAAATTAGCCAGGCATGGTGGCGGGTGCCTGTAGTCCCAGCTACTCGGGAGGCTGAGGCAGGAGAATGGCATGAACCTGGGGGGCGGAGCTTGATCTCCTGACCTCGTAATCCGCCTGTCTCAAAGTGCTGGGATTACAGGTGTGAGCCACCATGCCCGGCCTGTTTGTTCCTTTTCATTCTTTTTTCTCTAATCTTGTCTTCACGCTTTATTTCGTTAAGTTGATCTTCAATCTCTGATATCCTTTCTTCTGCTTGATCGATTCAGTTATTTGTACTTGCGTATGCTTCACGAAGTTCTTGTGCTTGTTTTGCAGCTCCATCAGGTCATTTATGTTCTTCTCTAAACTGGTTATTCTAGTTAGCAATTCCTCTAACCTTTTTACAAGATTCTTAGCTTCCTTACATTGAGTTAGAACATGCACCTTTAGTTCAGAGGAGTTTGTTATTACCCACCTTCTGAAGCCTACTTCTGTCAGTTCGTCAAACTCATTCTCCGTCCAGTTTTGTTCCCTTGCTGGTGAGGAGTTGTGATCCTTTGGAGGAGAAGAGACATTCTGGTTTTTAGAATTTTCAGCCTTTTTGTGCTGGTTTTTCCTCATCTTCATGGATTTATCTACCTTTGGTCTTTGATATTGGTGACCTTCAGATGAGGTTTTTGTGTGGATATCCTTTTTGTTGATGTTGATGCTATTCCTTTCTGTTTGTTAGTTTTCCTTCTAACAGGCCACTCTGCTGCAAGTCTGCTGGAGTTTGCTGGAGGTCCACTCTAGACCCTATTTGCTTGGATATCACCAGTGGAGGCTGCAGAACAGCAAAGATGGCTGCCTTTTCCTTCCTCTGGAAGCTTTGTCCCAGAGGGGCACCCACCAGATGCCAGCTGGAGCTCTCCTGTATGAGGTGTCTGTCGACCCCTGCTAGGCGATGTCTCCCAGCCAGGAGGCATGGGGGTCAGGGACCCACTTGAGGAGGCAGTCTGTCTCTTAGTAGAGCTCGAGTACTGTGCTGGGAGATCTGCTGCTCTCTTCAGAGCCAGCAGGAAGGAACATTTAAGTCTGCTGAAGCTACACCCACAGCTGTCCCTTCCTCCATGTACTCTGTCCCAGGGAGATGGGAGTTTGATCTATAAGCCCCTGCCTAGGGCTGCTGCCTTTCTTTCAGATATGCCTGCCCAGAGAGGAGGAATCTAGAGAGGCAGTCTGGCTATAGCAGTTTTCTGGAACTGTGGCGGGCTCAGTCCAGTTCAAACTTCCTGGTGGCTTTGTTTACACTGTGAGGGGAAAACCGCCTACTCAAGCCTCAGCAATGGCGGACACCCCTCCCCGACCAAGCTCGAGCATCCCAGGTCGACTTCAGACTGCTGTGCTAGCAGCATGAATTTCAAGCCAGTGGATCTTAGCTTGCTGGGCTCTGTGGGGGTGGGATCTGGAACTAGACCACTTGGCTCCCTGGCTTTAGCCCCGTTTCCGGGGGAGTGAATGGTTGTGTCTCACTGGCATTCTAGGTGCCACTGGGGTATGAAAAAACTCCTACAGCTAGCTCGATGTCTACCCAAATGGCTGCCCAGTTTTGTGCTTGAAACCTAGCACCCTGGTGGTGTAGATTCCTGAGGGAATCTCCTGGTCTGAGGGTTGTGAAGACCATGGGAAAAGCATAGGATCTGGGCCGGAATGCACCGTCCCTCAAGGCACAGTCCCTTGTGTCTTCCCTTGGCTAGGGGAGGGAGTTCCCTGACCCCTTGTCTTCCAGGGTAAGGCAACGCCCACCTTGTTTTGGCTCGCCCTCCATGGGCTGCACCCACTGTCTAACCAGCCCCAATGAGATGAGCTGGGTACTTCAGTTGGAAATGCAGAAATACCTGCTTTCTGCATTGATCTCGCTGGGAGCTGCAGACTAGAGCTGTCCGTGTTTGGTCATCTTGCCAGCCACTCCACGGTGTTTCTTTTCTACTGCATTGTCAGGCTGCAAATTTTCTGAACTTTTATACTCTGTTTGTCTTTTAAAATGAAATGCTTTTAACAGCACCCAAGTCACCTTTTGAATGCTTTGCTGCGTAGAAATTTCTTCTGTCAGAGACACTAAATCATCTCTCTCAAGTTCAAAGTTCCACAGATCTCTAGGACTGGGGCAAAATGCTGCCAGTCTCTTTGCTAAAACATAACGAGAGTCACCTTTGCCCTAGATCCCAACAAGTTCCTCATCTCCATCTGAGACCACCTCAGCCTGGACCTTATTGTTCATATCACTATCAGCATTTTTGTGAAAGCCTTTCAACAAGTCTGTAGGAGGTTCCAAACTTACCCACATTTTCCTGTCTTCTTCTTAGCCCTCCAAACTGTTCCAGCCTCTGCCTGTTACCCATTTCCAAAGTCGCTTCCACATTTTTGGGTGTCTTTTCAGCAATACCCCACTCCTGGCACCAGTTTACTGTGTTAGTTCATTTTCATGCTGTGGATAAAGACATATCTGAAACTGGGAAGAAAAAGAGGTTTAATTGAACTTACAGTTCCACTGGGGAAATGATTCTGGGGAAGCCTCAAAATCATGGCGGGAGGCAAAAGGCACTTCTCACATGGTGGTGGCAAGTAAAAATGAGGAAGAAACAAAAGCAGAACCCCCCAATAAACCCATCAGATCTCATGAGACTTACTCACTATCATGAGAACAGTATGGCGGGAATGGCCCCCATGATTCAGATTATCTCCCACCAGGTCCCTCCCACAACACATGGGAATTGTGGGAGTATAATTCTAGATGAGATTTGTGTGGAGACATAGAGCCAAACCATATCAATAACCCTTTATAATGTGCAAGGCAGTAGTAATAGTCCCATTTTCCTGGTGAAGAGTATGACTAATGTTTAGTACTTCCAAACCCAGTGCTTTGCCTTTCCATTCTGTCACACTAAAGACTTCATTCGTACATGAAAATCTTTTGAACACACTTAGCAAAAGGCTTTGAGTTAGTTACCCGCCCTGCTTCTCTGATAGCCTAATTTTCAATGAAAAATCAGATACTTCATTATTATTAGTTGGGATCACAGATCTTTGACCAGTTGAGGGTCCTGGTAGGGTGAGCTTTCTTGGATCACCTGGGCCCTTAGAAATCTGATGGTGCTCAGCCGGGCATGGTGGCTCATGCCTGTAATCCTAGCCGTTTGGGAGGCAGAGGTGGGTGAATCACTTGAGGTCAGGAGTTCGAGACCAACATGGTGAAACCCTGTCTCTACTAAAAATAATTAGCTGGGTGTGGAGATGCGTGCCTGTAATCCCAGCTACTCAGGAGGTTGAGGCAGGAGAATTGCTTGAACCCAGGAGGAGGTGGAGGTTGCAGTGAGCCAAGATTGTGCCACTGGACTCCAGCATGGGTGACACAGTGAGACTCTATTTAAAAGAAAAGAAAAGAAATGTGATGGTGTTCAGAACTGGTAAAGGGCTCAGGCCCCAGTGGCTCCTAGGACTGGCTTGGGGTCAGCAGAGAGCACGAGGCTGGAACAGACAGAGGGGCAGCTTCCCAGGGTTATAAACATGCTGCCTGCGGCCCTGTCATTGCCCTGCTTAACCCCTCTCAACCATGGTGGTGGTGGTGATGAGAGTAATGATAATTGGAGCAGTGATAATAACCATTTGCGGCTGATGTGGTGGCTCATGCCTGTATTCCCAGTGCTTTGGGAGGCTGAGGCTGGAGGATCACTTGATTTTGAGACCAGCCTGGCCAACATTGCAAAACTCTGTCTCTACAAAAAAAAAACCAAAAAACAAAAAACAAAAAAAAAACACATAGCCAGGTGTGGTGGCACACATCTGTAGTCCCAGCTACTTGGGAGGCTGAGGTGGGAGGATTGCCTGAGCCCAGGAGGTTGAGGCTGCAATCAGCTGTGATCAGACCACTGCACTCCAGCCTGGGTGATGGTGAGACCTCATCTCTAAAAACAGTAACCATAATAAATGATAACCAGTTGGTTAACAGTAACCATTTGAGAGTTTTTAAGGTGTGGGCATGGTGTTAAGCATGCAACATAGTCACATACTCTTTCTCATGTAATTCTTACGACCCTATGAAAAGTCGTAGTTCTCTTTTCCAGATGAGAAAGCAGACTATAGTAATTTGTTCAAGATCACCCAGTCGGCACATGGCAGGGTTGGGACTCCAGCGTCTGTGTAGGTAGTCATTTCTCCTCTGTTTTATCCTTGGCTGCAGGAGACCAGGCACCTGGATGAGATGAAGTCGGCCATGCGGAAAGGCCACAGCCTCCTGAAGAAGAAAGAGGAGAAACTGAATCAGTTGGAGTCCTCTCTTTGGGAAGAGGTGCAGCCCCATGGCCACATAGCCCAGTGGGCCCTGGCCTTCCTCTTCTGTTCTTGGGATTGGGTTGAGTTCTTTGGTCCTGCATCAGGGGGAGCTGGGCCTCTAGGGCCCAGGATTGGGCAGTGGGCTTGTCTACTGGCTGATGAAGGTGGCAGTGGCTTCAGTTCTGAGTTTGTTGAAGACACCTGTGGGTTTGGATACCTGTGCTGAATGGTCCTGAATACACCTGGACCCTCTTGCTAAAGGTGCCTGAGAAGAGGGCCAAGCCCTTACCCTACCCTGGTCCCTAAGGAGAGGTATGACCAGGGCGTCAGGAATGGACACACACGATAGGTTTTCCTGCCTGCCCTGGGACCTTGTGGACGTTCTCCTGGGTGTCTGAGGTTTAGATATAGCACGGGGGAGGCTTAGGTGCAGTAACACTGCAGGGAGAGCTTACTGGGAAGGGTGGTGAGGGTCTGTGTGGGCCTGATGGCACTGTTGTCTGTGTCTCAGGCATTTGGGACATATGCTGAGCCTTGCTTCCCTCCCACCCTCTGTGAGGCAGCCCTGTGTGATTTGCTTTGCCCAGGGTGCCTAGTGGAACTCTGGGCCCCAGAGGAGTCTACTCGCCAAGTCCTCAGTTCCCACACAGCACAAGGGCAACAGCCTACATACTGCCTTGAATTTGTAGCAGCAAAATTGCTAGGAGAACAAATGGAGATGGCCATGTTCCATGGATTTGTGTAAGAAAACCAGCTTAAAGACAAAACATACAGAAGAACCTAGCTCAGTGTCCTAGCCACTTCCTAGAAAGGAAAGAAGAAGGGTAGAAAGCATGTGGGAGAGGTCCGTCATAACTGCTAACTCTACCCTGCAGGCCTCAGATGAGGGCACTCTGGGAGGATCCCCCACCAAGAAGGCGGTAACCTTCGACCTCAGTGACATGGACAGCCTGAGCAGTGAAAGTTCCGAATCTTGTTCCCTGCCTCACTGTGAGTGGTGGTGGCAGCAGAGGAGTGAGTGGGGGAGATGCGGGGTGAGGACCATGGTATCCATGGAATGGGAGGAACTTGGGGAACAGAAGAAGAACCCCCTTCCCTGCAGAGGGAGGCCTCTGTGAGCTGGTGTCTGGACTAGGTGCTTAGTCAGTGCTGGGAAGGAATCAGACCATCTAGGTTTGCCAGCACATGGGGCTGAAAGGTCAGGGAAGCCTTCTGAATGCTGCAGAGCTCTCTACAGTGTGACCGCTGGCCCTGCCGACCTTTCTCTTCCAGGGCCTCCTTGGGGAGGCTCTTCTCTCTCGGCTGCTCTGGCCTGTATGTGATAGAAGGGCCCTCTCCCCTTCCTTCTCTCTGGGGTCCTGGGCCCGTCACCCAGGGCCTTACCCTGGAAATCTGTTTCCCAGCTTCTCACCTGCACTGTCTGGAACACAGAAGCCCTGCCATCCCTGACCCCCTCATAAGGCTAAGGGGCTGTTTGGAGAAGCAGGGAGGGGTGGCCACTAGGTTGCTGCATGACAGCTGTGTCTGGGAATGGTCCAGGGTCCTGAGCTTGAGTCCCTTCCCACCATCCACCTCTTTTCTTTCAGTTGACTCAACCCCAGGTCTTACCTCCCCCAAGATCCATGGGCTGAGCCACTCCCTCCGGCAAATCAGCAGCCAGCTGAGCAGCGTCCTTAGCATCCTGGACAGCCTCAACCCTCAGTCGCCACTGCCGCTCCTCACCTCCACGCCAGCCCAGCTCCCTCCCCGGGCCTCCAAAAGCACCCCCCCCCCCCCCCACTACGGCTCCCTGGCCAGGTTCTCAGCCTTATCATCTGCTACACCCACGTCCACCCAGTGGGCTTGGGATTCAGGGCAGGGGTCCAGGCTCCCCACCTCTGTGGCTCAAACAGTGGACGACTTCCTGTTGGAGAAGTGGCGCAAGTATTTTCCATGTAAGCCCCACTCTGGGCAGAGCCTTCCCACCTGCCTCCTCCTCCTCTTCCTTCCTTTTCTTCTACCCTCTTTCTCCTGCTCCTTTTTCCCTCTTCCTCTTTTGCATCCCTTTGCCACACCTCTCCTCCCCCAACATTGCCATAGTCCATTGGTCCATTGACTCTGCCTGTGGGTCCCTGGGGAAGGAGACATTGCAGGTGGCCCTGCAGCCAGGAGTTCTGTGGGTCAGGATGGTTTAGATGGAGCCTGGCTGACTGGGGCCTTTCTTATGGATTTTGGAGCTCAGCAGAACCTGAAAGGTCATTGTTGTCATTATCTTAATAGCTACCATCTTGTGCAATGCATTATGGGCCAAGCAGTTTATATATTTATTTTTTCATTTAGTTCTTATTCTCTGAGGTAGTAATTATTTATCCCCATTTTACAGATGAGGAAACTGAGTTTCAGAGAGGTTAAGTAGCATGCTCCAGGGTACCCAGTGAGAGAATAACAAACTCAGTTGTGACCCCGTGTCTCTGTGACTCCAGGGTTTTGCTTGGAACCTCTTGGCTGTGTGGCTAATTCTTGCTTCTGAGCCAGGTGGCCTCCCCGGGTCTCAGCCCTGCTGAGGATTATGAAAAGCCATTAAACACAGGCATTTGAGGGAAAACAAAATATCTTCTTTATGCCCTAACCCAAATTGAAAAGTAGATTAAGTTTTAAAAATAAAATAAATAGGACCATTCCTGTCTCTCACCTGTCTCTGACCTCTAGCCACTCAAACTTTTCCTTTTATTGTTTATTCTGGGGAGGCAAGAGGCGCTGGTGAGCAGGGTGGTGGCCACTGCCCATTTCTGAGCCCTGTCCCTACGCTCTTCCAGCTGGCATCCCGCTGCTCAGCAACAGCCCTGCCCCGCTGGAGAGCAGACTGGGATACGTGTCTGCCAGGTGAGCCTCCCTGGGGGCTGGTTGGGGTGGAACGTCATAGCTGCTCCCTGCGCCTCCCTGGGCGGGTAGACCTCTGAGGGGAGCAGGCCTCCTGGTCTCACCCCAAGAAGTCAGGCAGGCCTCTAGTCCACAGAGCTGTCCCCACTTGCCTGGGTCTGAGGCGCCCGTCCGCAACTAGAGGGAAGTCATGTCCACACCGCCAAGGTCCCAGTGGGGAAGGGCTGGGCTTACCCAGCTAACCCCCTGAGGAAGCTGCCTTCTGGCCCCTGTGGGGAGGAGTCAGCCCCTGGTAGGACCCTGCCCCTGCCCCTCCCTCTAGCTCCTCCAGCCCTGGAGTCTGGCCTTTGTCTTTGCCCTTGAGCTCTTGTTTGCTTCCTGTGGCTCCCTTCTTCCCCAAGTCCTGCTGAGCAACATCTGGAGTGAGAGGGACACCCTGTGGAGGAGACAGACGGGCAATTATTTAAACCTGTTATTAATTTTCCATTCATCTTATTCCTTGCCAAATATATCCCCCTTTCCCTCCGCCAGGCCCCTAACAATGCGTACCCCCCACCAACCCTTTGGCCAACTTGAGAGCTGACGCTGGCCAAGGATCGAGTTGACAGAGGGGAGCGCTTTGCTGATGAGATTGGTGGGAGCAGGCAGATGTGGGAGCCCAGAGCCTCATATCAGTAGCACCCAGCAAGGGGGCAGAGGGTGTCCACCGCCTTCCCGTTTGGGAACTGTTCTGGGGGGGCAGATGTTTTGAAGCTTTGAATTGCTAGGGACCGCAGAGAAGCTGCTCTGCTAGCTGAGAGGAAGAGGGAGGAGGTGACAGATGTGATGGCCTCTGCACATCCTCTGGCACTTCCACGCCTCCTCTCTCCCCTCCCCCATGCTCTCCTCTTCCTTGCCAGTGAGCAGCTCCGGCTCCTACAGCACTCCCATTCCCAAGTCCCTGAGGCGGGCAGCACCACCTTTCAGGGCATAATTGAGGCCAACAGGAGGTGGCTGGAACGTGTCAAGAATGACCCCAAGTTGTATCCTTTTACTTGGTTCCCAAACTGGGCTGGGCCGTGGGGCTCAGGCTTGTGCCCTAAAGGGCTGAGGAGGATCCTGTTCAGCCTTTGACCCTTTCATGGGCCCTGCCTGGCTATGCCCAGTGACTGCAGTTTTCCTTCACCTTGTGGCCAGACCTCTCTTCTCTTCAACACCCAAGCCAACAGCTACTTTGAGCCTCCTGCAGCTGGGCCTCGATGAGCACAACAGAGTGAAGGTGTATCGCTTCTGAGGCCCTGAGCAGGGGCTTGGGGCAGCTCAGCCTCTCCTCCACCCAGACCAAGTGCCTGAGGAGCTGCCTGCCTTCTTCCATCTGAGGAAGCACCCTTCTGCCCCCTTTGACTTGCAGGAGCCACCAGGGACCAGGGGGTTGAGTGGAACAGTAAAGCCACACATTCTGTGACTATATAACCTATCTCAGGCTAAAATGTGTGGACTTGTAATGAGCTCCTGTCATTGACATGGCAAGCTGATGGTGTGCGGTGGCTGCGAGGCATCAGGGCCGGGAGCCCTCTGGGAGGAAGGGAGGTGTTAGAGGAGCTGCCTTCGGAGGCTCAGGGTTTCCCTTTGGAGCTAGTTTCCTTGGCCCTGCAGCACACTGCTCGGGGCTCCCAAGAAGCTGGTGCATATGGTTCCTAGTTCATCGGGACAGAGACCCCCAGCATGTGTGTATCCTGGGACCTGGTTTCTCTGGGACCACATCTATCTCCAATACCTCAGCCTCAGATCAGACCCTTTCTTTTTTTTTTTTTTTTTTTTTTTTTTTGAGGCGGAGTTTCGCTCTGTCGCCCAGGCTGGAGTGCAGTGGCCGGATCTCAGCTCACTGCAAGCTCCGCCTCCCGGGTTCACACCATTCTCCTGCCTCAGCCTCCCGAGTAGCTGGGACTACAGGCGCCCGCCACCTCGCCCGGCTAGATTTTTGTATTTTTTAGTAGAGACGGGGTTTCATCGGGTTAGCCAGGATGGTCTCGATCTCCTGACCTCGTGATCCGCCCATCTCGGCCTCCCAAAGTGCTGGGATTACAGGCTTGAGCCACCGCGCCCGGCCTGACCCTTTCTTTTTTGTATTTCTTTTCTTTCTTAATTTTTAAATGCCTTTTTTCTTGAGCATTCCGTTTCTCTTTTTGACTGTCCAGAGCCCTGCCAGAGGGTGCTGGGGGCTGTCCCTCTGCAGGACTGTGTTTTCCTCGGGGGCTGTCTTCAGGAGCACCCCTCCTGCTCCCTGGGGCTCCTCAGGGAGCCATTTCAGCTGGAGTCTCAGGTCTCAACACAACTTCTCTGGGAGGCCAAAAAAAGATTGGGATGGCTTCTGGTCCTCATGACGGTTTTTTTCCTCCTAGGACACATTGGATATATTCATGGGCATTGTTTCCATCTGTCTTTTCTACCTGTGCCACCCCTGCCCTGATTCCAAGGCTGCCTCAGGCAGGCAGGCAGGCAAGGGGCTAGGCTGGTGCCCAGCCCTGGCAGCAAGGGGTCTTGTGCACTTGGAGATGCTGCTGTTGTGGCAGAGCATCCTGCAGCCCCGCTTCCATCAGCTGGCTCTTGGGTGGGGGCTTTGCAGGGGATGCTCTCTGATGTTTGCTCCGTTGTTTAAATAAAATGCACCTATTTTTGTTTTTTTGCAAGCTGTGGGGTTGCCCTTGCCTCTCTAACACACAAATTAACTCCCTCCGTCCTCCAACTCATTTCTTGGTCATGGAATAAGAATCTAAGATGCAACTGGCTGTTGATCTCCTCAGATGCCTTTTAGGCATCAGCCCACTACATAGAAAACTCCGTTTCATCATGTGGCTCATTCTGTGTGCTTTGGGAATAGCTTATATGGTGCAGCCAACTCTAGTGATAATCCTGGGTGTTTTCTGCATCAGTTAAATCTCTAAAAGTCCATTTTCTACAAGGCAGTCATGTAAATGTGTCTGCTTCTTTTGGGAGGCCTTTGCCTCCTTCCTGAGAAAGGGAGAAAGGAAAAATGAATATTCATGGAATACTGCCCTATGTAGTATCTGATTTAATCATCACTACAATGTAGATATTGATGTAGATATTTTCTGTTCCATTTTTATGGATGAGGAAACCAAGGCTCAGAGAACCTTTACATGGCTGGAGTCCCCAGTGAAGTAGCTGAGCTCCCTATTTGTGCAGTGTCCCTACACTCCATCCCTGCACCCCCAGAGCGCTATCTTCCCTACTACCAGTCCTTGGGAAGTGCTGAGTTCGCCATCTCTCCCTTTGTCCCTTCACTGCTCTCCCACCTATCAGCTGGAGACCCATGGTGCCTTTTCCCAAAGGCTGATTGGTGTTTTCTCCACACAGGCAAAATGCAAGATGAGTCCCCCAAAGTCCCTAAGCTGGCAAAGTTAGCTGGGTTTTTCTGCTCCAGTGGTGTGAGCAGCCTAAATACAGTCTTGGATTTACAGCAACAGAATTGCTAGGAGAACAAACCAAGATGGCCACATGATACGGATTTGTATAAGAAAACCAACCTAAGGACAAAACATGCAAAATAACCCAGTTCCGCGTCCTAGCCACTTTCTGGGGGGAAGGAAGAAAGGAAAGAAGGGAGGGAAGGAGAAGCAAGCTAACATTTGTTGAGTGCTTTCTTTGTGCCAGATGCTTCGCATATGTTATTGTTAGTAATCTTAATCTTATGATGTTAGTGTTCTTATTTCATCCATGAGGCAACTTAGGCTCAGAGAGGTGATACCACTATAGCCCAAGGTCATACGCAGTATTTGAACCCAGATCTCTGGAAGTTGAGATCTGTGAACCAGGCTCTGCTGTGTCAGCGTCTCCTGTCCTCCTCCTGGCACACAGAACAGTCCTGGCCAGCTTGGTTTGAAGACCTGGGTTGCAGGAAGGGGATGGCTTCTAGCTGGGGGAAAACCTTCTTGGGTTAGGGTTTACAAAGGGACTTTTTCAGAAGATTCCAAAATTGTCCCATCCCTCCTCTCATGGGTTTTAGCATCTAGCTGGGGAGACTAGAATCACAGACGTTTGGAGCTGAAAGGGGCCACTGAGTCCGTTTGGACTGCTGTGACAAAATGCCATCAACCAGGTAGCTTTTAAACAACAACAATTTATTTCTCACAGTTCTGGAGGCTGAAAATCCAAGATCAAGGTGTTGAGAAATTTGTTGTCTGGTGAGTGGTTTCTAGTTCCTAGAGGGCAGCTTCTGCGTCCTCGCCTAGTAGAAGTGTAGGACTCTTGGCTCCTTCAGCCCCTTCTGAGGGCACTAATCCCAGTCATGAGGGCTGCGCCTTCACAGCCGAATCGCCTCCCCAAAGGTCCCGCCTCCTCATATCGCCACACTGGGGATTGGGTTTCCTCATGGGAATTGGGGTCCATAGTGGGGCCTTATGGATCACTTGTTCAGTCCATTCAGGTTTTGCAGTAGAGGAAACTGCCTAGAGAGGCTACATGAGGTGCCCCAAGTTGCAGCCACAGTGGCAGAGGTGGGAATAGAACCAGTGTCCTAACTTCCTGGCCTGGGGCTTCAGAAAAGAGTTTTTTTTTAAAGGATATTCTTAGTAGACTATATGTTCACATGAATCGATATTCAAATGGTACAAAGGCACTCCATGAGTTATCTAGTGCTCCCTCTTGAAGGTAAAATACTACCAGTTCCTTCTGGAGATTTTATGCAAATAAAAAGGAGGGACGCTTAGATTCTCTTTCCTGTTACTGGTGGAGTATGGGTCACTCCTAATGTAGGATTGGACCATTGCCCGAAGCTGTCGTGAGTGGTTGACTGACGGTTTTCTTAAAGGAACAATGCTGGAAATGATGACAGATGCCCCCCACTGGCCCCTCCCACCTCCCTGCCCCTCCAGTAAACTCCCACACAAAATAGCAGTATGAGGTGTGGGGAAATAATCTTGGCCTCCGTCCTGGGTTTAGGCTGTCACCTGAACAAGTCCTTTCCGTTCCTGTGTCTTCCCTGGTCACAAGCTCAGCCTGAACCCACGCTCTGGGAATGAAGCAGGGCAGCGGCCTCTGTGGCCTCATCCAGAGGGCTGCTGGGGGGCCAAGACGGGGCTCCGGTGGGGAGGGGTGCTGAGAGGGTATTGCAGATCCCACTACCAGCTTTTCTGGGGGAGGTGGGGAAGTGATGGTTAAAAAATGGAGTTCCTGCTATCAGCCCTGTCCTGATGAATTGGAAAGTCTCCTTCTTTCTCCTTTCTTGCATCTCCTGCCTGCTTCCCCTGCCTGCCCTCCCATGACATGTGCCCTCTCCAGCAGGTGTGTCACGCAGCACCCCGAGGGAAGGGCAGTGTAACTCTCTTTTCCATGATGGACTACCACAGCCAGAGGAAGACAGGCCTTCCCTTCTTTTCTAGTCTTTTTCATTTGAAAACAATGCACTCTTATTTTCCCCTTCCAAGAAGCTGGTGGTTCACATGGGCCAACACACACATTATCAAACACCTAGTTTATTTCTAGTAAATGAGTCCATTGAAATGGGAGACTTGGCCGGGCATGGTGGCTCATGCCTGTAATCCCAGCACTTTGGGAGGCCGAGGTGGGTGGATTGAGATCAAGACTATCCTGGTCAACATGGTGAAACCCCGTCTCTACTAAAAATACAAAAATTAGCTGGACGTGGTGGCACACACCTGTAGTCCCAGCTACTCAGGAGGCTGAGGCAGGAGAATCGCTTGAACCTGGGAGGTGGAGGCAGCAGTAAGCTGAGATCGCGCCACTGCACTCCAGGCTGGGCAACAGAGTGAGACTGTGTCTCCAAAAAAAAAAAAAAAAAAAAAAAAATGGGAGCCTTAATTTATTTGAGACTTATCACAGCCACCCTGAAAGAAGGAGAGAGGTGCTGGTGCCCTGCTGTGATAAGCACTGCTCACATCACAGTAGGGTTGAGGAGACGGCAGACATTTGTAAATATGAGTCTTTGTAATTTAGAATCTGCCACCATTTTCTATTAGGTGGGAGGCGAGGAAATGACCACAGGTGCACGCACACACCCCATAGCGTGCTTAGCTCCGTTGTGGGTTAGAAAGGCCATGTCTTACATGGAGTAGAACCCCACCTCTTGGTTTTGGAGTCATATTACACTGTCTCCATCAAACTTTTCACTCTGATTGTTGTCAGTGCTTTCAGAAGATGTAGTGGCATTTCTTCTAGAGAGGGTATAGGAGTCTCCTTCTTGCCCAGCAGCCCTCAAAGTCCTGATTCTCCTTCCCCACGGGGCCCCACGAAGGCACACTCCCTGGAGAGTTCAGTAGTTCCTTCTCTCCCTTTCCAGGGTCTCTGAGGCTAGGGTGACTGTTGAGAGGCTCCCAGCTGTGCTCTCTCTGACCCTCAGGCTTGGGTTGGGATCCCAGCCCTCCTTGACATAGAGCAAAGGGTGATGGGTAGTGCTCCTTGAAAAAGAGCAAAGGGTGATGGGTAGCGCTCCTTGAAACAGAGCAAAGGGTGATGGGTAGCGCTCCTTGAAATAGAGCAAAGGGTAATGGGTAGCGCTCTTTGAAATAGAGCAAAGGGTGATGGGTAGCGCTCCTTGAAATAGAGCAAAGGGTCATGGGTAGCAGAGTGTCTGAGGAGGTGCTGGTGCCTGAGAGCATAACAATAGAACAGGCTCCTGCACATAACCTTTGGGATGGACCCATGGCCTCAGTTAGGAGGCAAGGGTTAGGACAAGATGGCCCCGAAGGAAGGATCACCTCCCATCTTCCTTGGTTGGGTCAAGTCAGCTGGTTAGTGTCCTCTCCCTTTTGATTTTTCTTGAAGGAACCATACCACTTTCATCCAAATCCATGTCCATTGTTTCCCCCTGGCCCTGACC